TCGAGCAGAGTCCCTGGGCTGGTGTGCTGGAGAGAAAAGCTGTGAAATGCAATTTCGGGCAGCAATGGTTTGGGTTTCTTAGCTTGTTCTCCCTTTATAAATACACACAGACCCTGTCAACACTGCTCTTTCTCTTTGGGGAAAAAAGTGTCAGTGTGGAAAAAAAAAAAGATTTATTTATTTATTTATTTTTTTTTTTTTTGATGTGAGGAGTTATAGCAAATGTCAAATCTTAAGAGTTAAAGTCTCAGTCTTCTCATTTCTTTTCTGAAGAATCAACACCCAGGGTCACCCATTCCCCTCTGGCTCTCTCCAGCCTAGAGCTCTCTCTCTGCCACCCCAGGATGCCCTAAGTGATCTCGATTTTGCCTTGGGGCTCTCCCTGCACAAAGGAAACTCTTGGCTTCTGGGGGTTAGTTTCTCAAGAGAGGCAATTACTAGAAACTTCAGGAAATGTCAAATATGAATACTTGGCAATTTCATTTGGGGTTGATGACTTGTCTGACTGAAAGCATTAATTAGGTGGGCCTAGAATATTTTTGGAGAGTTGCGATATGGAGAATTTTTAGCACCGTGTTTGAAACAGGGTTCATAGGAGGGGGAAAGACAGAGCAGCAATCACTCTCCACAGAACACATAGCACTTTTCTGGGGAGACCTCCAAATTTAGCCATTTCTGTCTCTTGATAAGCTTAGGGGCAGGCACATGAGAGGGAGTGTTGACTTTGCTTCACTGGAAGAAAAAATAAAGAAGGTCTGATCAGGGGTGGCACATTTTAAGTCTAAAGAATGGGAATCACTTTTCTGTAGCTGAGAACTCTTTCTTATGACCAAAAAAAAAAAAAGAAGAAGAGTTATACAATCACAAGAGCTGGAATCACCCTCTGGCTTCCCCACTTGTCTAGTTTGTGATTTGAGGCCAATTAGGTAAATATATACAACTTTTTCACCTGTAAAATTGGGAGTGTTCCCATTCCTGTTCAACCTGTGAACATGGTAAGCTCATTCCTCCCCCAAGACCTCTGCACTTGCCCTTTCCACTGCATAGGGTCCTCTCCATCATGGCAGATCCCTTCTCCTTATCCAGGATTTAACTTAGCTGCTGATGTCCACTCTAAAGATAGTCCTTCCCCATCAAACTGTGTCCTCCTGGACTTGATTCTTCATGATGCGATTATCTGAAATTCTCTTTGCATTTCTGTGTGTAGTCATTTTGTCCTCCAAAATGCCCATGGCCAAAGGAAACCTGTCCATTTTGGTACTCCCAGCATCTCCAATGCTGCTTTGTGCCACGTCGGGGATAGACAGTGCCCAGCTAATATTTGCTGAATGAATGGATTCTCATTCTCATTCTGGATGAATGACACTCTCGGAGTACTATGTGCCAGCCCATTCTAAACATCTGCAAAAATTATCTCAATTTTTGTCTCACCTCAGCCCAGTCCCTCCCCTGAAGGCTTCCCCTTCACTCTATCAACTCAGATTAGAAACTCTGCTCTCATTGTGTAGGCTGTTCACCTCTTCATACTTAGCCACTCACATGTCATCCCTGCCTTCCTTCAGTGGAGATGTCAGATGTCTGCCACACCAATGTGTATCCACCTTCAGCCCATGCACAGATCTTCGCCCACAAAAGTTAGAAGTTAAATACTTTCTTAAAGCATTTCTGGATGAATAAAACATTTTGGAATGCTTTTTAACAGAACATAGCACAGCTGTTTAATAAAAAAGAACCATTAAATGCAAAAGTGCTTACAGAGCAAGCAGAAATCAATATAAGTGTGCCTTGCCTTAATAAACCCAGTACTTCCACATTGTTCATCTCGGGGTCTTTGCACATGCTGTTATTTCCTTTGCTGGAAACACTCCGGCTCACACCTTTGCCTGTTTATTTGTCCTCAACCTCAACCAGAGCCTAAATCCCTCCCTAACATTATTACGGTATAAGTTTGTGCCTTTCCAACTTTAGTTCTTCTGTCAGAGTGCTGCTTCCCTAGGACACAATAAGTTCTAAGAAGGCAGGATTGACACTGTTTGTTTGGTTCACTATCTCTTCCCAGGTTACAGATTCAAGTAAGCAACCAAAAGCATTGCTGATGCACAAGTAAAACCTTAAGTGTCAAGTTTACAAATGCCCAAGGTGACTGAAATATATAGTGGAGGTTTAAATTTTTAAAATGTTATTACAGGACTGGGGAGATAGCTCAGTGGCTTAAGTGCCTGCCTGGCAAGCACAAGGTTTTGAGTTCAATCCCCGGTACAAAACAAAGTCATTACAGTATGAGGCACAGTGTCATTAAAACCCCTCAAAATACTCTCTCTCACTTAAAACACATCTATTCCATCATTTTTGCTATTTTCTGAAGGAGTTCTGGTGCTCTTTTTTCATGAGTATCTTTGTAAGGTGTCACCAAGCACATGGTGAATGTCACTACCATGTGCATCACACAGAAAGGCAGAGTAATAATAAAAGCACCACAATGTGTCCATATCCACTTTATTCACCAGATCTGGCACCATGTGACTTCTGGCTCTTCCCCAAAGTCAAAATGATCAGGAAAGGCAGATGTTTCTAGTTGATTCAAGACATCAAGGTAGCTACAATGGTGCAACTAGAGACATTCATGAAAGAGGACTTCCAGAACTGCTTCAGAAAGCGGAAAGAATAATGAGATGAGTGTGTCTAAAGTGAGAGACACACTGGGAAATTAATGGTGCTGTATCTAAAATATAGATACTAGGGGCTGGAGAGATAGCTCAGCAGCATAAGTGCCTGCCTGGCAAGTGCAAGGTCCTGAGTTTGATCACTGGAACTGGAAAAAAAAATACAGATACTATATTTTTCTGTCATACATCATATTCTACTGTTAGGACTGTAAATGACTAGAACCACTTTACAGTTAATTCTCAATAGCTAAGAAAGGTGAAAATGCATGAACCATAAGACATAACAAATATACTTCTTTGTATACACTGCCCCAGAGAACTCTTGCTCATAAAAATTTCTCCTGGAGAATCATTTTGTGGTTATTAACTATAGCAGTTGAAAATAACAAAATCTTGGAACTAATTTAAATATATCCTATGTATGCAGTTTATGTAATAAATTATATATAATTTATATATAATTCATATATAATTGAAATTCATGTAGTTCAGAGTATTATATAGTCATTAAAGTGAATAAGCTACTAGATCCATATATCAAATTAAATGCTAGGTCTCAAAGAAGTGATGTAGAATGACAACAGCAGTATTTGGAACAGTGGGCATGTTAAGGACAGTAAGAGTACACAAAAGTGGCCCCAGACAACCCACAGCCTGCAGCCTGCAGTCACCTCTATTGACAGAGAAAAAGGAAAAAGCAAAAAGAATGTGAATGGTACTGTTTTGGGGGCTTCACCTGTACAGAGAGTGGCATTTCTTGTTAAAAAGAGCTGAAGCAAATCTAGCAAAATGCTCAAATTTGCTTACTCTGAGTGATGAATACATCAGGAGTGTGGGTGTGTTTATGACAGACATTTGTGTATGTGAACAACCGTGCAATATTTAAGGCACTACTGAGAAAGGTACCAGGAAGGGGAGGGGGCAGGGAGAGAGAGTTGCAATTCTAGTTTGACACTGGGCCTCAGATGAAGGACCTGTGCTCTCTGAGAGCCCCATTTGAACGCAAGATTAACAATGTCGAAGGTTCAGGTTGCTTGTGAGAATGACTGAGAATCAACACGTAAAATAACTTCCAGATAATATCCACTGGCCTTCCAATTTGGGATGAACCCTAAGTGACTTTCTGAATGGGTCTTATCAGGGGAGACACTTGATTTAAAACTGATCAGGAACTGCATGAATACATTTTCAACACAAATTTGGCCAGAGAAAATGAATGCATCACTACTGTTTGTGGAAAAAAACTGTCTATGTACACACATGACATAAAGACATATATACACACAGGTTATTTATTGGCTGTGATAGCCCTGAGGGAAACACAGAGAAAAAAGAATGGAATGGTGGGGAGGACTCAACTGTATCTATAATGTCATTCCCTGTTTAAAATAGCTGAAACAGCTGGAGAGATAGCTCAGTGATCAGGCACCTGCTTGGCAAGCACAAGGACCCTGGTTTGATCCCTGGTACCACAAGCCATGCTGGCCCTGGAACCCCAGGTACACTATGCTGGCCACCAAAACCAGGCATGGTGATGCATGCCTGTAATCAAAGGCTGAGACAGGAGGATCACTACAAGTCCAAGCTGCATAGTGAGATTCTGTACCAAATAAATAAATAAATAAATAAATAAATAAATAAATAAAGTTTGAACAAGCTGAAGCAAATCTAGCAAAACATTCAAATTTGTTGAATCTGAATGATAGGTGCACCAGGGTTCTCTTGAAAGTCAGGTGCTTAGAAAACAAGAGTGGAAGAGAAATTTACATTTTTCTGCTCTTATTTCTAATTTTGCACCATGCCTGCAGATTACCTAGTCCAAACATCAATTTAATTCATTTTTAAATTAATCTAAAAGTCATGATCACCTCTTCAATTCTAAACCCACTTAAAAAGGAAAGGCCTTAAAGATCTAAGTTCTAAACAGACTCTTGACGTTATGTAGCCCACACTCCTCTCTGAACCCATGCAGCAGGACAAAGCCTCTCAGCCTCATATTTGTCACATAGCTAGGCCAAGGGCAGAGGAGGGCATCTGGGATCCAGAATCTAGGTTTGGTTTCTGTCACCATGACTTTGAACTGTGAGACACTAAGCAAGTCCCTTGAGTTCTTGGAGCTCGGCTTTGTTTCTCAAGTTGTGTGGGAACAAATAAACCATTTTACAATTGTGAGGTGTGATCTTTAATGCACAGATGTCCCTCAGAAACAAAGATTCCATCCTTCGACCTACATGAGAGCGTCCTGATAAACACAAGCTAAACGCACCCTTCTTGACATGAACAACAAAGTCTTCTTTGCTTCTAAGTTTAACCCAGTTCTCTTCTTTTCCACAGCAAATATCTTGACAGTGATCATCCTCTCTCAGCTGGTGGCTAGAAGACAGAAGTCCTCCTACAACTATCTCTTGGCACTCGCTGCTGCTGACATCTTGGTCCTATTTTTCATTGTGTTTGTGGACTTCCTCCTGGAAGATTTCATCCTGAACATGCAGATGCCTCCAGTTCCTGACAAGATCATAGAGGTGCTGGAGTTCTCGTCCATCCACACCTCCATTTGGATCACGGTCCCCTTAACCATTGACAGGTATATTGCTGTCTGCCACCCTCTCAAATACCACACAGTCTCCTACCCAGCCCGCACCAGGAAGGTCATTATCAGTGTTTACATCACCTGCTTTCTGACCAGCATCCCCTACTACTGGTGGCCCAACATCTGGACTGAAGACTACATCAGCACCTCTTTGCATCACGTCCTGGTCTGGGTCCACTGCTTCACAGTGTACCTGGTGCCCTGTTCTATCTTCTTCATATTGAACTCCATCATTGTGTACAAGCTTAGGAGGAAGAGCAATTTCCGTCTCCGGGGCTACTCCACAGGCAAAACCACTGCCATCTTGTTCACCATCACCTCTATCTTTGCCACCCTTTGGGCACCCCGCATCATCATGATCCTCTATCACCTCTATGGGGCGCCTATCCAGAACCGCTGGCTGCTGCACATTATGTCTGACATTGCCAACATGCTGGCCCTTCTGAACACGGCCATCAACTTCTTCCTCTACTGTTTCATCAGTAAGCGGTTCCGCACCATGGCAGCTGCCACACTCAAGGCCTTCTTCAAGTGCCAGAAGCAGCCTGTACAGTTCTACACCAATCACAACTTTTCCATAACAAGTAGCCCCTGGATCTCACCAGCAAACTCACACTGTATCAAGATGCTGGTGTATCAGTATGACAAAAATGGGAAACCTATAAAGGTATCCCCTTGACCCCATGGGTTGGGCACCTAGTGCCTCTGTGGTATTCATTTCCAGATGGGAGGGCATCCCGTCCTGTGGCTGAACAGCTCTTCTTAAGAGTGCTCACCTCATTTCCTATCTCCACAGATTGAGCAACTCTCAGATGGTAGCTGACAAAAATGGAAGAGAAGAAAGGAAAGCATGAATCATTTTATTTATGTATTCGTTTTCACAAAATCATGCTGACAACAAAAGTTCCTACCAGTTGGAAGATGCTGTTGAGGGTCATTAAGTATCATCATACTGTGACCAGTAAGAGCACACAGTAGAGGAATAGTCTGACTTAGCACAGACCCATTCACAGTGACTTGGAACTGCTCATGTATGGGACACAACAAGTCACAGTAGCACATAGCTGAAGCCACACTCTTCTTCCAAGAGCTCATGTAATCTACTGCTTCCCTGTGCCATTTCTAGCACCTAACAACACTGACTGATCAGGGATTTTTCCAAGGTGCCCTTTGTCCTAGAAGGAGTTGTGACCTTGAAGTGGCCCTGGCACCCCTGGATGCAGAATGACATGATGGGGAAAGGGAGAGAATTGAATCTCACCCAAACTTTGGCCAGAGCTTCTGTGGGGAGACTCCATACCAATATAACTATGACCTTTAGGTTTAAAGTGTGGTTTTCTATTTGCCATAATGTGTAGATTTTACCCATCTCCTCCAAAATAAAGACCCTGCCTAGTGCATGGGAAAAAGGGAGGAATTCTTGAGCCCAGAATAAAAAAAAAAAAAATCAAGCCCACTCTTGCCATTGTTTCAACCCATCTCTATGTCACTTGTATACAATACCCGTATTCAAAATCGCTTCTTATATTGTGACACCACAGAGCTTCCTCAAGAAGCCTTTTATGTGTAGACTCACCAGCCTTGCCTCCTTGCTTGCTGAAGCCCTTTGTTTCATTCAAAGTGACTTCCTAACCGAATGTAATATTCAAGGGTCAGGAGCATTAGCCCTCTGGGTATGAAAGGATGCATTCTCAATTCCTGTCCACAGACCAGCTGGCATTGCCACGAGACCACAAATACAGACACAAGTGACTTATTCACCTGTTCTGTGATACACATGACACAGAAGACTGTGCCACTTCTTAGTGAAGCAGTTTAATCCAGATCTTTTGCAAAATTATAAAATATGAATATTTTCCCCTTTAGCTTACAGGAAAATTTTAAGACAGGAAAAGTTTGAGGATCCAATTAAGAGGGGCTGCCCTAAGGCTTTCCACTCATGTGTGCACACACATGTACACATCTATATTTGATTCTATGAGATTCCTCCGTGTCTAGTGATGTGTTTTGCAAGGGATGTCTGGGCTGGAGTTCCTTCTGTTTTGCATTTTTTAAATTTCCCTCCCAGAATCTCAGTATTCAAACTCAATCCTGTACTGGAAGAAATTTTCTAAACTGATTTTGGGGTTGCATGTTATTTTGGGGGTCAAATAAAAAGCAGAGAGTCCAACTGAGACATGTGTTTCCTTAAGTTTGAGTTTTATTGCATTTTGTGCATAGATAGGAAGAAAGGTCTTTATCCTTTTTCATGGGAGTTTGCAGTAAGTGAATGGGGTTTAAAAAAAAAAAAAAAGATCTCAGGGCAGCACAAATCCTAAATTTTATCTAGTATTTATTCAATATAATTCCTGGCCCTACATGTCCTGATAATCCTAAATCCTACTTGTTTTACTTTTTATTTTATTTATTTATTTATTTATTTATTTATTTATTTATTTATTTTTGTGGAACCGGGGATTGAACTCAAGCCCTTGCACTTGCCAGGCAAGCGCTTATTCTACTGAGCCATTTCCTCGGACCCTTTACTTGTTTTAAATGATTGCAGTTGAAGGTTAGATTCTAAAATTACTGCAAAAGAAAATTACTGACCGAGCCAAAGTTATCTGTGCAGTCTTCAGTAAAGAGCCATGTTGGAGATAGCTATCTTGGGTTTTTAAAGGGATAGTTAGTTAAGTTTGTCACCGGCACTGGAACAGGTTTCTAGTTCTTTGGCTGAAGATAAGACTCACTCGGTTTGAGTTGGGGACTACATTGTACGGTTCTAACGTGTCTGAGGACATCAGGACTCCCCTGGTAGAACAAGATGCTCCCACTAAAAGAATGGCACCGAAGTTGTTCAACGGAGGGCCAGAGATGCACCCTTCCTGTCTGACTTGCTCATTGAGGAAGTGGCAAGCAGAGTGCCCTGCATCTCCTGCATTCCTGTATTTCTCTTGGTCTCTTTTTTTGCCAAGCATGTGTATTTGTATGCGTGTTCATTAACTGTGTGTACGGCATGATTTCACCTCATCCCCTTCTGAATGAACATTGACCAAAGGCTACCTATACTGAATATATATATATATATATGTTTATTTATTTATACAATATAGCTCTAAATAATGCTAGTATGAGCTATACATGAATGATTCAGAGTGCAATATCTATCAGATAGGTTAAGCAATTCCTTTCTGAGGACATACATTAAGAAGAAAAATAAGCCTGTGAATCTTAACACTCTTTATTCCATAATTTTGCTTGGATGTAAAATTAATTGTTTTTTAAACACTGAGTGTGCATTGGGAGTGTTTGCCTCAGATATTCATTTATGACTTTTCCTGACTGTAGTGGTTCTACCAAGTAGTGTTATGATCTCTTTCTCCTTCTGACTCGCTTTTGCTAAATGATATCTTAAAGTTTCTCATTCTCAAGAGAACTCTGGTAAGCTGCTATCTTCTGTTGAAAAGGCATATGAATGCCCATAGGGTTTTGCTGATTCACATGTCTTAAAATTATTTGAAATCATCCAAGTATTTTTAATTTGTTATTTATGATCATAATCATAGACAATAATGCAAAGGGTTTTCTTTTTCACTTTAAGACATTTGGAAGCCTTTTGTTTCAGGCCAGGTTTGGAAACAAAAGCCTTGAGTGTTGAAGCCTGTCACGTAAATAGCTGCTACTGAGAGCACCCGAGTCACTGCCTTCACCTGGGCTTCTGTGATGCAAAGACTGTTAGCCAGCGTCTCCCTTGCCAGGTGCTTGGACTGGACCCTGCTGTGATGTCGCACGCATGCACCCTACGTCTTGTTACTGAGCAACTCTGAGTTTGAAAGGTCCCAGGGGAAAGAGAAAGAGGAAGGTGACAGATAATAAAAGACAGACCATGAGAAGGCATGAACTTCCGTTTTGCAAACACCTGCATTGGAAAAGATTACTTTGCACAGTTGGTGCCCACTATTCCAGCAGGAGGCGCTTGCCTGAAGTGAATAGAAGACTTATTGTTGGCTATTTCTGCTCAAAGGATGGAATAGAAGGTCACCATAGAAACATAGTAAATGTTCATATTTTCTTAATTAGATAGTATATTGTGTTTGGACTTGTTTGTATTATAATAAATTCTAAAATGGTGCAAACTTGGTGTTTGGTACTTGGATATATGTTCAAAAATTGCAGAATGCTGACTTTTATTCATACTAACTGTATAGGTATGGAGCACAACATGTTGTTTTGGTACATGTGTTAAATGTGGAATGATTAAAACAAAATAATGAACATTCTACACCTGACATTTTTTTGTAGTAAGATAAGGAAAATGTATTTCCTTAGTTACTTTGAAATATGAAGTGGTATGGATTATTGTCAGCCTACCATGCAATACATTTCAAACCTTATTCTTATCCACCTAAAACTGCATCCATTTTCCCCAGCCTGATAACTGTTGCTCTATTCTCCACTTCCATGGGTCCAACTTTCCTACATGCAAGTAGATCACGTGATATTTGTTAATCTGAGTTATTTTGACTTACTATAATGTTCTCCAAGTTACAAAAAGCTGACTAAAGCTTCTAAATGGTCATCTCATTTATTTATAAAACATATAGCTCTAAATAATGCTAGTATGAGCAATACATGATTAATGTATTGATAATTGTAATGATTAATACATGAATGCTCAAAGCTAGAATAAATCAGAGGTTCCACCTGTCAGATACAGTTCAGAATCTAACAACACTAAACTCTGCTTCCTATAAGTATTAACTGGGTCATTTATCAGGTATAAATATGAATTCTTTTCTTATCACATCCTACAAAAGATATACAAATACAAAGATGTATACAAATATCTTTGAGACAATGATGGCTGTAATCATAACTGGGAATTTAGCATAACAATAAAAAGCTTGGAGCTTGGCATTAGTCATGTGTGAATGTCCAAGCTCCACTCCCTATAAGTCATATGGCCTTGAACAAGTCCTTGAAGATCACTAATGAAGACATCTAGAAAATGGTGCAAAGTTTAATTTTTTTTCAGTTGCCTACACAGCAAGTTGATGCTTTTCTGATAAGATGCCAAAGAGTCAGTTATTACACTTTATTACACTTGGTAGGTTGGATGACCTTGACTCTATCTCTCTGAGTTTCAACTTCTTCTCCATAAAATGGGACTAATCAAAGTTCCAGTACAGACTTCATGGAGTACTTTATGAAAAGAACCTTCTAAGACTTCCAGTTGCATGCCATTTTACAGGGGAGGGTGGTAAGCTAAAACCGGGGAGTGATTTTGTCCAGAATGGAGGTCAAGTCACTCAACCCTTCACCCTTCCCACTCTATCACTTTGCCTTCTCTGCAAGATTCTGAGTTATCCTCCAAAGTATCACAGTATTTTTATGCCCTTTATCATGTTGGAAATATTGCACACTTTTGCAACTCTTCAAACCCAGATCATCCAAGCGTGAGATACATTATAACAGCATCATAATTAAAACACTCAGCTTGACCTTTTCCTGTAAGGTAAAATATTTTTAATTGATTCTATCAGCTCTCAAACTTGCTATACATTTTTCCACACAAACCACCATCCGTTCTGACAGCCACCCACAAACTATTGTCACAATCTATCTTTGCATTATCTTGGAGAATGAAAATGACTTATAAGTTGAAGATAAGTACATAAAAGCAAAGAACTTGCTGGAAGGGTCACAAACAGAAACTGTTAGGCACGGCAACATCCTCATTAATTTTACTCACCAACTCCGGGAAGCAGGATAAAAGTGAGTTAATTGAGGTTGAACTGTTAAGTAATAATCCTTTTATAAATGCATTCAGCTAAATGTGATGACCCAGAGTCTTTGGAAGTGTGTGGTTAATCTAAGTACTTGCCAGACACAACAAGGAAAAGAAGAGGCTCCTGTCTACTGGATAAATAGATATTGTGAGTTT